TGAATTGAAAACCTCCTTTTTGAAGTCGGTTGAAAATGAAATATTTTTAATACTGAGTCACAGTATTTAAAGGTAATAGTAATAATATGTAATAACATGCAAATATGCTTAATAAATAAGCAAATATAGTAAATAGCAAGTTCTAAACCAGACATCTTCAATACAAATGACAAGTGGCCCAGAAACCAAAATATACTTAGTAATTTGCACTATTTCCAACTGTGTCGGGTATTAGTTGTCTCCCGAACCCAGACAGTGATAGACGTTTTATAAATGAAAGACGAAACTGCGCTCTTTTAATCTGTTTTCTTGTTGCCATTGTTACTGGGTACTAGTATGGAAATACCTAATATATAATGGGCGGGGGGAGGGGATTATTAGCAATGCGAACTATCAGTCCCATTGCTAGCAAGATACCCAATCAGGTCGATCTCCACGTGGTCCCCCTGGAAACTATCATGGTTAATTCTGCTGGGATTCGTCACGATGCGCTAACTGACCTGCCCTTTCAAAGCGCGCATAGCTTGGAATACGTAGATTTGGAGGTTATCTCCAAAAACAAGATATTTTGCAGGCCTTTGCAGCCTTTTAAAAATTACTACAAAGAGGGGATCAAAAACTCCAACATCGTCTAACCAAGTGTATAGCTCTTAAAGGAGATGATGTTAAAAAATAAATGGCACTCATTCGAAAATGTAGCTCGTTGTTTCATTTTTACCGGACTTATCAATCCATCCTCGTATGTGTACATACGTGTCTACACGTATGTACACGTACACATACAATACACATGTGTATTGTGTATAATGTAATGTATAACTACAATATTCAGTTTTCTTTTATATCTATTTATATAACCGTGTTTTTGTTTTTATGATTTGTAATTAAAGGATAATGGTATTAATTATTATTCCAATTGTTAATTAAATAATTGATTATTATTCCAAATAAAAAGGAAATTTCGATTTGATGAAACTTTATCGGCCAAACTGCAGATTCTTATCTCTATTTTATAAACTGGGAGACTTTGTACAAAAGTCGATTGCTTGGGTACCTCTGTCCAGATCGTGTTTCTACCGTGAAGCAGTTGTGTTTGCATGACTGTGTTTCGGTTTGAAGGGCGTGAATTTACTGGGTAGTAGGAATAACACCTGAGTCCTCAGGAATGGCAACGCATGGGGGGTTATCATGGGCGAAACAGTATACTCTGTTATGTCCATGGTACTGCTCATATCTATAGGCGACGGTTACCACTTTCCGTCAGGTGGGTCGTCAGCTTGTTTGCGATTCTAAGTTGTATAAAAAAAGAGATACCTGTGAAGGAATAAATGAAAACTCTTTATCGTTCTTTTCATAGAATGATACAGATTATAAAGATTAATAATATGTACACAAATGAAGTGAATGCTTATTTACATAAATTTCATTACATAAAAGCAAAATAAAGTGTTTGTGGCCTTATTGCTAAATAGTGATCTCTTCCAAGCAAACCTATGGTTTATTGGATGGCTCTGAAGAAATTTTAACATACAATTTGTCTTAAATAAATTAATGAAAACAAAATTACTGGAAGAGCATACACTATTAAGCTACAGCAAAATGGTTCTGGAATATATTGTAGATTATATTCAGCCATTAACAGCAGCATCCGGACGTTATAGATTGAGACGAACACTGCAGGTATCCCCAATAGAATAGTGATTGATGCATTAGTTCTCTCATGCAATTATCTATTATAAACTGTATCTCTATACAGTAATGTTTATAATTGCATCACCGGAATATTATGCACAGTCACATTGCTGGCAACTTCGCAACATGTTCCAGGGTATTAATTGAGTGTATCTGTTTATATTGATAGTTCTGTAGGCACGACATCGCTGTTAAGTGTTTATTCTAGACGCAACAAAGATAATACTAAAAAGGGACAAAATATTTCTCTCATGATGATAATTTCATAACAAAAATTTCTTTTTATTCTAAATAACGAACAGCCTAAAAAATTATTTCTATTTCTAATGACTCTGTACTTATATCATGGGTAACTAACGAACGGATTCGGAAGTCTTCTTCGGGGGGCGTATTATGGCGCTTTAAAAGAAAACATCTATTTCTTTCTACAATATTTTTGTTAAGGTGCATCGTTTGGTATAAAAATAAAATATGGGATTCAATCATATGTCACATAAGACTCTTCATCCGAAATTTATTCTTATAATAAGAGCATTAAAGACCAATACAGCCGTAATCATCATTGATGCCATACTCCTATTTGATGTTAACATTAAATATTATAATAAGACACCGAAGGATATTTCGGATTATATACATATCTTCATGGTCGGCAAAGTGCACGTGACACTCATAGATATTGCAGTGCGTCCATAGTCTACAGTGACCATTTGACATCAGACGGGCTGTGTTTGGTTGCCACCTTCGTGGTATAAAACAAAAGAATATTAACTTTAAATTCTCTTGTTATGGTCTTTTACAGTCTTACTAAAAAATACCATAACTTGCGATTATTAATCTTATTACAGACCCGCAGACGTTGTAAAATCGAGTAAAATTTACCTTTTGGATAATACGCAAATAGATTGTTTACGAAAAATTTTATATAATCACATGAAAATAAACACAATCAGTCTTAACAAGAGGCTCAGTGAGATTACGCCTCTCTTTGTCTTACACAAAGCTGATTAACTGAAGACAATAAGATTCACCAGGATCACATACTTGTATGTACATGTCTGTGGTAATGTAATGGAATATTAGGGAAATGTCTTTTATCAAGCGACTTCAAAAAGAATTAAGGTCTCAATTCAGTTATAGGAAGTTATTACCAGAGGGAGACTGTATAAAAGTCGTTTGCTTGGGTTCCTCTGTCTCATTCGTGTTTCAACCGTAAAGCAGTTGTGTTTGCATGGCTGTGTTTAGGTTTGAAGGGTGGGATATGGCGTGAATTTACAGGTACAGAGAAATAACACCTGAGTCTTCAGGAATGGCAACGTATGGGGGGTATCATGAGCGAAACAGTATACTCTGTTATATCCATGGTACTGCTTATATCTATAGGCGACGGTTACCACTTTCCATCAGATGGGCCATCAGCTTGTTTGCCATTCTAAGTAATAAAAATTTTTTTTTTTTAAGTTTATTACATACAACTGATACAGTTAAAAAAAGAATTTATCAGTATCAGTTGTAAATTCTTTTTTTTTTTATCTGAAAGGATTACAGAAATTGGTCCCAATAGAAATTTTATCAAAATCAGTTCCTGAATTAAAAGAACTGGTTTTTCTACAATTGAAGTTGGTTATTTTGTGGAACGCAATCTTGTCGTTGTTAATAGTGAACACTACATAGTATAAAATAAAGTCGCTTCCCATCTGTCTGTCCATATGTATGCATAGATCTTTAAAATTACGCAACGGATTTTGATGCGGTTTTTTAATAGATAGAGTGATTCAAGAGGAAAGTTTATATGTATAATACATACATAATATTGTAGAGAAACACTGATAATTTTATCGTTCTTATAAGTATGTTACGATAAATTAATAAAATATATATTCGATATTATATTCTGTAGGATATTTAATATCACCATTGCCCCCGTGCGAAGTCGAGGCGGGTCGCTAGTAATTTATAAGGCCTAAATTATGTATTAAATAACTTACACTTAATTTGCAAAGTATGTTAGTTAAGTAATTAACTAATTAGTTGTGTTTGTTTAGGTCAAATCTTGTAAGCTTAACAGGAACCTGTTCCTGACACCGTTTGAACTGTTAATTTTATATGCACTTTTAATTCTGTTAACAATATAATATATTATATATTATTCAGCATTATATTATTTTCAAAATGACTACCGCAACAACATAACGGACGGTATATCCTTACTAATATTATAAATATGAGTGGGTTTGTTTATTACCTCATAGGGCCTTAACAGCTTAAACATTTTTATTATGGAATTTGTTTTAGGTACATGTACTGTATGGGATAAAGAAGGATATAAGCTACGCACACCAACGCGACTACACGCGTACAAAGTCGCGAGCAAAAGCTAGTATTTTATAAACCCTGTTAATTTTGGTATGAAATGAAAAAGCTTAAAGAGTAGGTAACGATACAATAAATGATGTTATTTTAAAATAGCCGCAATCAGAAGATGGCGGATTAGATTATAAAAGTTAATTTTTATTTCATTTTTTACACAAATTTGTTATTAATTTGAATTATTGAATTTCTATAAATTTTGCTGGAGTCAGATTTTCTATATAGTCGTATGTATTTTTTGTTATGAATGATAATGGAATGGCAACTCGGCCTTTACTATCGATATATACTGGCAGGATACAGGAAAGGATGATAGTTCAGGATGAAGCAGATTAGATGACCTATCGTGACGAATTCAACAATAAATCAGTTACGATGATTTCCAGGGGAAACCGCAAGAAAACTTGAATTGAAACTTCTTTGTCGCCATGATGTAAATTTAAGTCTGGCCACATCTATATGTTGATATTATTTTTTTATACGGTTTTCTTCACTATTCAAATGGTTGTCTCGTCTTGTATCTACACGTATTATATATATTGTTGTTTTAAAAAATATTATTTTTACTGTGACCCTCTGCATTATTAACATTTTCCTTCTCCCCTGGGGTCTGGAAGTCAGGGAAGCCTGTATTCAGCAGTGGGCATTTAACGGTTAATATGATAATAATGATATATATATGAGAGTACACAAAAAAAGGGAAAAGGGATTGTTAGCAATGGGGTTTGACAGCCCTATTGCTAGCAATATGCCTTATTAGGTCGACCTCCACGTGGTTTCCCCTGGTAACCATCTTGAACAATTCTTGTTGAATTCGTCACGATGGGCTAACTGACCTACTTCATCCTCATCTATCATCCTTCACTGGTGCCCCGCCAGTGTATACCGATAGCGCGGGTGGGGTTACCATTCCATTATCATCTATTAAAAAAAAAAAGTACACAAAAAACTTTATTTTTATTGCATTATTTACAATTCATTAACTTACATTAATAAAACTGAGACATATTTGCTATGATTTAATAAATTGATGAAAACAGATGAGAATAGGAGATGTAAGATATTGCGTTACCTTATATATCACTACTCCTTAACTCTTAGAAGGAAAGAGAGAACAAAGAAGAAAAAGAGATCAAGAAACAAAATATTAAATACTCCATATTATAATAAATAATTTATAAATTAATATTGGTTAAATAAAAGGAGAGCTAGATGTCACATCGTAAAGGATAATCAAAAAGATATAGTCCATATTCAGAATCAATTTAAGACAGACACAGGTTACTTTAGCTGATAAGTGTAAAAAATAAAATATATCAATTAGATAGATTTGAAAAGCATTAATAACATTATTGGAGAACAGAGGTTCTCAAAATAGAAAATCGTGCGCAATGGGGAATTAACCCCCATGAGATAGAGAGACGATTTCAGGTCTTGCATGAATTCGATGGATATAAAAGGCATAGGATTGTACTTTGTAACAAAATACGAAAAGTAAGAAACCTATATTAATTTTTGGATCACAAATACATTGTAATGATGATAATAAAGATATTAGATATTATGGAGATATGTTAAAAATGTTGTAGAGAGTCCATAGATTAAGGAAGTTCAGAAACGCACTTTCTTCAAAAATATACAAAAGGGCAATTAATAGAATATTGAAAATATGAAATAATTCTGATAATAACTAGATATAAATAATATTTAATCTAAGAACAACTCTGTAACATCTAAAAAAGATCATGCGAATTTCAGAAATTTCGTCAAAGTATGTTTAGTTTCGAGTGTTTGCTTCTTCTCGTGTATCGATAAATTTTTTTGATTGCTCGACGTTCGTTCAAATGCCACAGCCTTGTTAGCCAATGTGATTAGCTGAAGTATATCGTAGTCTCTGTAATGTGTTTCAATAATTTTACAAAGTTCTTGAATCATCCAAGAGCCTTCACTGTCTCTAAATGCCACTAACCCTAAAACATATATTACTTAATCAATTTCTTCTATTCTTACTAATATGAGTTATTTAAATGTAAATACTTGTAAAGAAGATTGAAGAATAGTTACTTAATCACAATAATCAATTGAATAAAATTTGGAACATGTATATATTCCAGATTAACACATAGAAATGGTTTATATCTCACGAATTACAAAAAACGACTAGTCTATAATATTAGTAAAATAATTTATACGTCAAATATACGCAGTAAAATCGAAATCATTAACATTGACTTTAAAGGAATATTCTACCAGTGAATATGAAGATATAGCCTCCATACTTATTTAACTTCTGGAAGCCCTAATGCGCAGTTGTGGGAGGGCTTAAAATTTTTTATTGCTTTTCGAAGAAAATTTAATTTCACTGGTAGATCACTACCTTAAAAGGAGGCTAATGACTTCGATTTTACCCTGTAAACAAAAAATAAGTTAAATAATTTTAAACTTTCGCGTTGTTTACACATATTTAAAATTCACGATCAGGACTTAACGCGACGCGATTGCAGGTGAATAGTACCTACATACTTGATTTTTATTACCAACGTTTCAACCTAGATTATACCTCGACATAGTTCATTCCACTATTTACCTGAAATCATTCATTGCATTAAATCTTGACCGTGAATTTAAAATAAGTTTAAAGAACTCTATTACAGTATTTACCTTCAACAGTAGGGTACAGCGTCAGAAAGTCAATATGTGACGGTATGTGGTAGGTTTTGAATGAAAGAGCATCAGTTTCCACAAAATTTCCGTCGTCGACATCATCTCCTCTACAAGCCTAAAGCACAGATAACTTAAATGCTTATATCTTTGACGAGGACGATTTTAATTACGACTTTGGCAGTGTAGCGGTTTAACATCTCACCTTTTGATCATTAAGGTTTCGGTTTCCACACAATACAAATTACTATTAAGTTAAAAACTTCTACTTTTTCCAAATTGATACAAAGAAACCAGTCTTCGAAGAGACTTTTCAAAGTGTAGACCATTTTCAAATTAATATATGTCAGATATTAAAGTTATCACAATAACTACATCCGAATAAGTATAATCAAAATCATCTAAGTAAGCAGACAAATGACTGGCCGTATAGCTTAAAAAACCAACTGTCGGAGGGAAAAAACAATTTTCAAGCGGTGACCTCATACAAGCAAACCCAAAAGTAATTAGGGCGACCCTCAAAAGTTTACCAGAGGAAGACTATTCAAAAGCCATCTGAATAGATACCATTGTCCTGCATGATTTTTTGCCACTAAACTTGGATGACTGTATTTCGGTTTCAAGCACAGGATAAGGCAATGAAGTTACAGGGTACGAAAGCGTAATCATAGACTACAGGGATGGCAATATATGAAGGGTACCATAGGTCTGACAATGTATTATGAAAGTTCATGGTACTGTTCATGTAAGCAACGTTAGCTCGTTTACCATAATAAGTTGCCTAACAAAATGGAGTGATATCTTTCAAATGTATTGTGTAAAGTCTGATGCAAAAGAACGAGATTTGTTTCTTATGGTAATCTATGGAGAGCCTATGTTCAATAATTACATATAGCGGGCAATAATTAATGGCAGAAATAACGATGGTGATGAAAAATTAACAAAATAACTTTTTTTTATACCTGAATAAAAAATAATTTAGGAATAGTCGCTAGTCTCTTATCCTCGAATAGTTTCGTCAAATTTTGTAGGGAGAAAGGTCTATCAGCAGCATACAAGTCGCCTTGATTATTACCGTGTGTCAAAAATGTTATACATATGCACGAAGTGTTACTGTGATCTCGATCTATGACTGAAAAAATATCAATTTTAAATTTTACAAAAAAACGTACATTAATTAATGTTATGTTCCATAAAAAAAAGAGATTTCAATTGTGGCAATACCAATTATTAAAAACTAAATTATTTAACTGATTTTGATAATATATAATATCTATGGGACTAATCTGTAAATACTTACAGATACATGCTTACAGATAAAGAAATAAAAGTATTTTCCAAATTGACAGAGTTATGTGTTATGAGTTAAACGTAAAAAAATACAACCGAATTGAGAAACATCTTCTTTTTGTAGTAGATTGAAAAGAAAGTAAGTAAAATGGGTCACTTTGTACGATAGAACGATTTTATAAAGAGAGAAAGATAAAATTTAAAAGAAAATATCGCGTAACATACACAAAGAAATCGACGAATTAAGGGTTTTAGGGTTCAAGTATGCAAGTTTCTATTCCCTTTCTATATTCCACCATAACTTCTAAATTTTTAGACAGACTTGGATGTATGGGATATCCAAGGATGTCAGAACCCTTACATCACCTCAAGTCACATTAGCTACATATTTTTTTTTTTTAAAAAAAGAATAAATCAGGTTGCATGAAGCCATATTCAAAGGTGAAAAAATAAAATAGCAGAGCAGACGTGTTTCTTATTTTTCCCGCCAAGGGCCATGCCAATGGCTAATATCATCATCAACATGAGAATTAATTTAGAACATATGATAGAATATTTTAAGTAGAAAGAAATAGAAAATACATTTATATAATTTGTGTGCAGAAAAAAATATAGACATACATACAGGCAGTTACCGTTTCCTTTATGTTACTATATTGTAGGTCAGTGTGTGTAGACACTTCAAACTGTACAGATTTGAACACTTTGTTCAGCTTATCAACATCTTTAAATGTCCCCAACCGAGATGGAGGTCGTTTGTTTCTGAAAGTTCAAATATAGTTTCTTAATACTTTAATAATGATTAACTAAAACTAAATAAAAAAATACCGACTTTAATTCTGATAAAATCAGTGATTTTAATTTAAACACTAAACTACTGAATTAATTTGCATGAAATTTCTACGGTACCGATCTGTAAGAATACCCTTTCAGACAAAAAAGAATTTTGCAAATCAGAGTTTATAACTGACAGAGTTATTAGGTAACAAACATAAAAAAACAAACGAATTGAGAACCTGCTTCTTTTTAAAGTCGGTTGAAAAGTTAATAGAGTTGGTAATATAGTAGTATGAAATCTCCTTGGTCCTCATGCTAATGTTACAGTCAAAACTGATACAACTAGTCAAAACTACTTTTAACCAGCTCGATTGGGCAAAAGTACATTTAACTGTTATTTTAGTCATAAGTATTATTGACTAAAGCATACGGTTAAAAGTACTTTTGACTGATTTTGCTAGTCAATCGTACTTTTAACTGGTTAAGAGCTTTGACAGCAACAGTAATACATGATGTCTATGTATTACCATCCCCGAGCATTGAGAGATGTCCGCACTATTTAGTTCCATTTTTATATAACACAGGGGTCAACGAGCATTTGGGTCACCTGATGGTAAGTGACTACCCCCGCCCATGAGCACCCGCAACACCAGAGGCATTGCAGGCAGACCAATGGCCTTTTAAAAAGAATATGATCTTTTCTTGAGGTTTACGATGTCGTATCTGTTCGTAAATACTGCTGCTAGAAGCTCCAAAGCGTGGTTATGCGTGGAGGAAAGTGCCTTAAAAATACACATGGTAGGCTGTCACTCATCCAGATGGTTAGGATATATGCTATATGATGACGTAGTTTTATATATACATATAGCTAGGTCTTCATAAATAATAACAAATATAAAACGTCTTTCTAGAAAATTCTTACCTAAAATACACTGTGGATTGAAACTTATACTGGTTGAAGATGAGCAGGTACTTTTTCCCCGACATATCATAGTACAAAGCATTCGGGTCGAATTGGCGTTTTATAAGTACCTCTACATTCCGATCGGAGGCTTGGTTTTCCGTAGGTGACGCTTCTGTACTCTGATCGGAGGTTCTGAAGATAATGTTATAGAGACTGTTTAGAAAAAACAAATTCCACGTTTCCTGGAAAACTAATACTTTTAAGCGGCTTTAAAAAGAGGCTTTTCTTTATTCGCCTATACTTTATGTTGAGCTAGATAAAGATTTTGTCTTTCATTGCATTAGGTTGACTGAGATCTCTTTCAGAGATAAGCTCACCCATTACATCAGTAACAAGGTCTACATCTTGATCTATTCCGCTACATCCTTTTTTTTGCATATGATATTAAAGATATACGAATACAGGACCAAATGTAGAATAACGGGAAAAAAAGATTGTGAGTAACAGAGACTGGCAGTCCTATTGCTAGCGATATAGCCATCTTAACTCGATTGCCATGGGATCCCATCTGAAACTACAGTTATTATGATGAATTTAACAAAATTGTATCTGGACGATGTCCGTGCATAAAAAAAAAATTGATTAAGAATTTTAACAGAAGCAATAGAAGCTTAAAACAATATTTTGTAGAAATGTTATCTATCCGTCTATCTATATGTTTGCTAAAACTACTGCACCTATGCATAAAAAACGCTGCATTAAATGCGGTTTGACTGTAGTATTCCTAGAGGTCAAATTGGTGTATGTGTTATTTTGATACGCCATCTAGAAATGATCTATATTTTTGATTTTCCTATTTTCGATACATGCACGTACAAAGTAGTGGGCAAAAAGGTAGTTTTTGTTAAATTCGTCACGTTTTTTTTTTATGTAACTTAAAATGGCAAACAAGCTCTCACCTTGGAAAGTGGTAATCGTTGCCTATAGACATAAATAGTACCATGGACATTACCGAATAGAGTTTAAGACAAATGACTTGCTTTCATTCTCACCTATTATTATCCCTCAGTGACGCCCCGCCAGCATACCCCAAAACGCAGTGGAGTTACTATTGTCATTGGCAGTCGTTAGAATAAAAACACATTTATTGATAACAAAAAAAAAAAATATAAAGATCAAATCTAAATAGAACATCTTCATCACATACATCGAACCTCTGTTTTAAGCTGCTTAAAAATAAAATACATTGTTAAATTCACATAAGTGGAAAGACTGAGAAGATCAACGCACACCTGTTCTTCTGCTGGGTTTAGAAATAAAAATGTTTAAATCTATAAGTGAGCACTTCGAAAGAAGAGATATACCAAAATTCCCCGAGAAACTGTTAATTCATAAAAAAGTGCATTTTGCACTACAAAATCAAGTGATTTCAATCATAATAAAACATACCTGCTGATAAATAACCATATATTTAGACACATGGTATAGAAGACTTTGATTATGGAGGTAGAGCAGCGAGTCTAAGTCTTATAGCCTTAAATTGAAGTCTGGCTGACGGAACTCACTTATTTAAAAAAAAAAAAACAATATAAGTCATTTTCAGTGTTGCTAGTGATTAAGTTAAAAATTTCCCAGATCAAGTCAATTTTTAAATTTGAATTAGGAACCTATTTTTTCTGATACCAAAGTAAAATAAGAAGTATTTATTTATTTATTCATAGGAACACCAAGAGCATATTTATACGGGTAACACATAGTATATAACAAACATTAAATATAATACAATATGAATGCACATGCTTATTAAAGGTATTCACGGCATTTACTTTAACATAATCATATAGTATGAAAAGAAATAAAATAATATATTAAAAATTACATTATTTGTTTTGGAAATATACATACAATATAACCGGGGTTGTGAATAATAAGTGGATAAAATTAATAAGTAATAAAAAAAATTATTAATTATAATTAGAGTTACATATTACTAAGTAGTTCGCCGTGTAATTCCCGGCATAGAATGGCCGAAAGGAACTTATGGTCGAGGGATGGGCAACAGTGTCCCTCTTAAAACATCACGAAAGAATTAGCTGCGGTTGCCAATCCGCCTACCAAGCATGGCGACACTGGGAATACCCCCCAAATATGATGGATGCCTATGTTTAGCAGTGGACAAATAATGGCTGATATGTAAGTAGCTGCAAAGTTTTTAATGGTAGATTTATTTATTTATGCAACCTATTCTACGATTAACGTTTTAGTTCGCTAGCAGAGCACTTTTTAAATAATAATTCAAAAGCATTGTCTTAATTGTTTTTGGAAATTGACAGTTATTTGCGACGTTGTTAGGCCTCGTGAACTTAAAAACATGGTGACGATCTCGAGGAACATAACCTCAAAATAAAATACTATCGAATTGAGACTCTCCTCTTGTTTATAAGCCACTTAAAAATCGAACAAGCAATGAACCATCCAGACGTAAATACAAAGAAAATTCATTTTTAATATCAACGTCTTTAGTAGATAAATTGAACAACAAGTTTCTACTCACTTTGCCTTGGGCGATAGAAAACCAAAAGGGGATGCATCTGAATCATCCATTTTTATAAGCAAACACGTTTACTTTGTTCACTATTTATTGCACAATATATTATTGTATTTAAAGCCGACTGAAACTCTCGAGAAATGCACACAAAGTGGCAAAAATTTACGTTTCTATCGATCCAAAGCAGATATCTAATCGGTATGTCTGTATGACATGATAAGGACTCGATTTTAATTTATAGGGTACCGTAACTATATGGCTGAATCCAATAGGCATCTAATCGTTATATGTCTACTGCTGAATATAGATCTCCCTATAGACTGCAATAAGGGATGATCCTGAGCCACCTGCATACACTGACACCCTGCAATCCATTTGAGGTCGTCACTCCATCTAGTGGGAGGTCGCGTGACAGTGTGTTTTCTTCTACGGGATCGCTACTCAAAAACCTTTCTCCCCTACCCGTTGTCATTTCTTCGAGCTATGTGACCAATCCATTGCCATTTCAGCTTGTTTCAATAGGCATCTTCCTTCATTAGACATCATCCTTATTATTAAAGTAAAATAATAATATAAAATTTTCTTTAACTACAGTAGATACTGGGCCTATACTTGGTAAATCGTTGCATAACAGAGTCTATAATGAAAAGAATCACAGAAGAATCAAATCCAATAGGACTGACAAGCTGATGGGTCATAGCTTAAAGTTCTAATAACTGATGAGGAAGGTTCACAGTGGCGAGACCACATGGGCAAACATAGTTAGGACGAACCCTGTCTAGATGGAGAGACAACCTCACATATACGTATTGCAGAGTCGGTGAATGCAGATGGCTCAGTACCGTTCCTTTTGGTGATGAATGGGGAAGCGTACGCTAAGCAGTGGACTGCGAATGGCTGAAATGATGATAAATAGCCTGCTACAGTTTTTCTAAAACATACAGTATGGAGCGTTTAAAAATGGAGCTTTGTCAAAGTGTTTTGAGGATTTACAATGCATTACAGATTTCTATAGGTTAAACTAATTGTACACCATCAGACATGTTGTAGCGTTTTAGCTTTTGCTACAATTGTGATGTAAAAATCTGTATTTCTGATGAATCTTCTCATGCATTAAACAAAGTGTATTAAAATTGTAACATCATCAAATAAGGCATTTGTAAACGGCAATAAATATCTTAAAGATCTAGTTGCATAAATACCCGTATTATAAGGGAGGGTAGGTAAGAAATATTTTGGCTTTCTGTCAAATATTTTTTCTTATTTTTTATATTAAAAGGGAAGTGATATGATATATATAAACAAGTTTTGTACTATAGCTACAGAACCCCATTATTCTGTGTTCGATGCACGCTTTTTGTTTCCATTACTTTGGTTTAAGTCATAATTTTGGTGTATATGTAGAATAAGTATAACAAAGTATTGCGATTTTTTGTACTTGACATATTTATAAATAATTACTGGTATATTTATTGAGTCATTAAAAATAATACAGACAAAAGTAATAATATATTTTTTGTATCATTTCACCTAAGTTATATACCTATCATATCCCTATTTTATATGTACTGTAATGCTTATTATAAATCTGCAAGTGAGTTTACTTGTATGTCAACCTTTGACACTTTTTTTATTTAACTTAGAATGGCAACCAAGCTAACGGCTCACCTGATGAAAAGTGGTAACCGTTGCCTATAGACATGACCAATAATACCATGGACATAACAGAGTATACCGTTTTACACATGATAAAATGGGCGATGGAAAACTTTAATGGTTCAATCAATAATTACACAATTTGACATACATATATTATTTGAGAATGAAGGACATAAAACTGTTTTACATTTCGGTCAAACAAACGAACTCATTAAAATAAATCCTATGAATATTGTAAATGCAAAAGTTTGTAAGAAATTAATGTAACATTATTGAATTTCCTTTGTTTTTTTTTTATATACATATTGGTGGATTTGTATACCTCGATAGATGATCAACCTCATCGAGGACTTAGCCTGTTTTACCATCCATTGTTATGTACTGTTACCTATGTATCACAAAATAAAATAAATTAATTAATGAAAAGAACTTATATTATTGTTATTTTTCACGCAAACACTATTAAACGTATTTGAATGAAATTTGGTACACAGGTAGGTTATATCCTAACTGATTCATGCGAGCAAAGCCGCGGAATACAGCTATACAGCAGTATAGAACACGAACATAAATAAAAAAAATTTCAGCTTGTTTGTTTAGATGATGCATTGTTATAAAAACACAAGGCAAGATTGTTTATCAATTTTTTGTTGTGTGCGTTACGTTTTACGCCGAATCGCGATATCTTCGCAACCTCAATTACACTGTATGTTATTGTGTATGTTACACAATGGAATATTTGTCATTTCTAAGGCAATTTATGATAATTTTTGTTCCTTACAATATAAACATAGGATTTACTTCAGGGTTGCCAGACGAGATTTTTCAGTTTTACACACAAACAATGTGTTATCATGATTTAAAAACTAAACTACTGAATCTATTTTAATAAAATTTCCATGGAACCAATCTAGCATTATATCCTTTTAGACAAAAAAAAGACTTTTTCAAATCGGTTTACAACTGACATAGTTAGGAGGTAACAAACTTTAAAAAAAATACAACCGAAGTGAAAACCTCCTGCTTTCTGAAGTCTATTAAAGTATGCCTATTTTATATCACTCCATATCTGTTACTTCTCCATCTCTGCTTACTCGGCAGACATATGGCGTAAAGATAAAGAGAAATGAAAAGATAACGCTTGTATGTTTCTGACAGACTTTTTAATTTCGAAACGCAACACAAGCAGTGCCCTATTTCTTACTAAAATATATGTACGTATTTAATTTAATTTTAAGTACCAACCTGCACTTGACGTGGGAATGAATCTGTGAGCACCATCCCAGACAGTCCTCATTTTGCGGATCTCTCCAATTTTCGAGACTCAAATTCCGAGTGTTGGGAACCTTTAAACGCTTTGTTTTGTTGGTTCCGTATATATATCATTCATCATTATCATATCAGGCCTAAAAAGTTTGAATAGTAATTTCGAAATTAATACGTGAGTAAAAATAATAAAACCGATAGAAATAACTTTAACATACATATTTTATAAATTTTCATGTTAAAAAGAGGATCAAGTACTTTATTGTTACCCAATTGTGTTGAATCGTTGCTGCATTTATGTGTTACGTATACTAGAGAATTCAATATATAAATGAGGTTTTAAGGTAGCATGCGTATATAGCAAGAGATCTCTAGAGTTATATTAAAGCGATCAGTTTTATTTATTTATTTAAAGTAACACCAACAGCATATTGCATTATAACATATATAACAAACATTAAATACAATACAATATTAATGCCTATTATAGGTATTCACAGCATTTACTTTAACATAGTTATACAGTGCCAGAAAATGAAGTAATAATTATAATGAATTATTAACACAGTTAAAAAAAAACTGCATCATCTGGCTGGAATTATCTGTAAATATTCGTTCAAAATCGTAAACAGTAAACCTATTAAGAATCCTTATTCTATTCTATTATTAACCCATGATGTCTCACTGCTGGGAAAAGACCTCATCTGCTTCCCTTATTAAAAAAAAAATCTAAATAATTTTATACTGAAAAAAGATTATATATTTTGTTTGTAATGGATAAATTTAAAAAATAATTTAAGCGGTTTTAAAAATTATTCCACCTATAAAAAGTTAGATTAACAGCGAGTAACATGATCTTCATTTATTTATTATTCAATAAACCGGTGCTAAGCTGGGGCAAGTCGATTCGTTTGTCGTTTAATAAATTTAAAAAGTGGTAATTTAATAAATATGAAAGGTCCTTTTGCGTTGACCAAGTGGAAATTGAGCCAAATGTTATATAGCGTTTAAGGGGCCACCATGCCAAAATTTACTGGCACTCGATTGAATTCAGTTCACGGCACGTGCGGCCGATATTAATTTCTGGGAAATTCACAAGGAATTGGATACTCTGAGATATGAGGTTTCGACGTGCTGAAAACCCGCTTCGTTTTACGTGATTTCAGACACGAAGGTTGCCGAATAAAAGCTGGATAAAAGTTGCCGAGTAAAAGTTAATATAACAAATTACCCGATCTTCGTTGTAAAATATTTGAGTGAGACCATGAACAATATTTAGGGCAGAGACAATTGTTAGAAATAAACTTCGATCAGTAAATTATGTGATAGAAATAATTGAAGACTCCTACAAAAAATCTGACTTCAATTTGTGACAAAACCAGACATTTTTAAAAACTAATTTAGAAATTAAACCACTGAACCAATTTTGATAAAATGGGAGCTATAAGTATACGCTTTCTGATAAAATAAGATTTTTCCAAATCGGTTTAGAACCAACGGAGTAATGAAGTAACAAATATAAGAAAATATAATCAAATTGAATTGAAACTCCTTCTTTTTGAAGTTGGTTGAAAAATAAAGTATAAACATTCGTGAATATTTTTTTAATGAATATATTGTACTTCGACATTTTTAAGCAATTTGAAAAACTAAACAATTTGATGGCCCATTCAAAGTTAATAGAAATTGGCAACCGTCGCCCATATTCATGAATAGTACTATGGCCATTACACAACTCATTGTGATGCCTTCATTCTTAACGCTATAAGGTTCCTTTTTTAATGGGTGAAAAATAGAATGGTAACCCCACCTGCGCTATTACTATATACTGGCGAGGTACTAGTGATAGATGACAGGTAAGGATAACAACATGTCAGTTAGCCCATCCAAATTGTGTTTCAGTTTGAAAGGTAGGATATGGCGTGAATTTACAGGGTACAAAGGAATAACACCTGAGTCCTCAGGAATGGCAACGCATGGGGGGTATCATGGGCGAAACAGTATACTCTGTTATGTCCATGGCACTGCTCATGCCTATAGGCGACGGTTACCACTTTCCATCAGGTCAGCCGTCAGCTTGCTTGCCATTCTAAGTTGCATAAAAAAAATTACACATGAATTAACCATGATGGTTTCTAGGCGGAACTACGTGGAGACATGATAGTATCATGGGACTAAAAAACTCTATTACTAAAAGTCCCTTCTGCCCCTACAAATTACATACACTTGGCAGCATAAAC